CCCTAAAGGGTTAATGCTCAGGAGATGAGGGGAGGAGGTCGGGTCGGGTTAGCCTGCCGGCCCACCAGGCTAGCAGAGCGCTGAGGGAAACCCTTGAGTTGCAGCTTGAAGGGAAAAGGTCCAGTGTTTCTCAGAAGGGAAAAGGTCCAGTGTTTCTCTGAAGGGAAATGGTCCAGTGTTTCTCTGAAGAGAAAAGGTCCAGTGTTTCTCAGAAGGGAAAAGGTCCAGTGTTTCTCTGAAGGGAAATGGTCCAGTGTTTCTCTGAAGAGAAAAGGTCCAGTGTTTCTCAGAAGGGAAAAGGTCCAGTGTTTCTCAGAAGGGAAAAGGTCCAGTGTTTCTCAGAAGGAAAAGGTCCAGTGTTTCTCAGAAGGGAAAAGGTCCAGTGTTTTCTGAAGAGAAAAGGTCCAGTGTTTCTCTGAATGGAAAAGGTCCAGTGTTTCTCAGAAGGGAAAAGGTCCAGTGTTTTCTGAAGAGAAAAGGTCCAGTGTTTCTCTGAAGAGAAAAGGTCCAGTGTTTCTCAGAAGGGAAAAGGTCCAGTGTTTCTCAGAAGAGAAAAGGTTCAGTATTTCTCAGAATGGAAAAGGTCCAGTGTTTCTCTGAATAGAAAAGGTCCAGTGTTTCTCTGAATAGAAAAGGTCCAGTGTTTCTCAGACCAAACGCTGTGAGGATGAGTGGACACACATAGACGAGTTTAGCAGGAGATGAAGCATAAAGAGCTTGACATCCATGCAAGTTTTAAAATAGACGCATTTTCTGCTCTGCTACTGTAAAGTTCATAAAGTCACAGATGACGTTATTTGCATCTTTGTCTTGTGTTTTGTTGTAGTCGTGGCCTTCAGTGTTGCCTACAATCAGAACAAGCAGCTGATTGGTGAGAACGGCCTCATGCCCTGCAAGAACTACCTGAACAGTGTCAAACGCTATGTGGGGGGCAAGATTGGCATGGCTGCCTTGGCCTACACACCCTCCATCCTCTGGTTCTTGGACTGGAGCCACATGGACGCCAACCTGGATGGCATTGCCCTGGTGGGAATGGCATTGTCACTGTTTGTCCTGCTGACTGGAACAGCTAACATGTTGATCATGTTCACACTGTGGCTGCTTTACCACTCCCTGGTCAACGTGGGACAGCTGTGGTGAGTTTGTGCACACTGTGTCTGAATCATTTTGAAACGTTTGTTCTAAGCGAAACTGTGTGTTCGTGGTGAAAAAATCTGCAACACTGTTCAGAAATGTAAAATCATTTCAAACAGAAAATTTATCTAAAATTCTTGGAAGTTGTGGCAGCCATTTTGAAAGTCTGCAAGTCAAAGAAAAGTCTTCAGAAGCTAATCTGACCCCCCCAGGGGTGGAGAAACCAAACCTCTGGTGTAGTCACATGAGGTGGAGTTAAGAGTTCTGCTGTCTGCCCAGTTTCACGCCAAAAAAACTTCAGATTTATAAAACCGTGCATACGCATGTTTCTGCACCTTTCATTTATAAATCACAGCTGTGCCTCAGAGTTTGGACCAATGTCCCTCCTCAGGTTCTACCCTCTACACGCCCACACTCAACCATAAACTGTCAATGCAAAGTACCTCATGAATGTTAAGATGTATTTAAATTACACTTACAGACATTCACTCATTCACACACTGGTGATAGTAAGCTACACTGTAGCCACAGCTGCCCTGAGGCTCACTGACCGAGACAGAAGTTGCGTTTCCATTGCAAATGTGCGCAAAACTTTGTCGATATTCTGTTAATGTTGAAAAAAACACAGTTTTGCAACTGCAGTTTTTCCATTAAGAAATGCTATTAAAGTCACGTGAATACGTTTGTTCTCATGATAAGTCATTACAAACATGGCAGCGATGGATGTAAACACATAGCATGTTGCTACCACGACACTAGCGCTCATCATCAGAGGAGACGTCGGCGTCTTTTATCGAGGCTTTCCAGAGACAAGTCCCTACTTGGGAGTGGCTACGTATGCTGTGTTTTGTGGGAAATTGTAGTCGGAGAGTTTATACTATTTTATACTACTTCTGTGATATTACTACTACTTCTACTTCCTGTTATCTTCTTCTTCGTCTTTTTCGCCAGTAGAAACAGCCGGTTGTTGATCACGTGACTCCCGTGACGCGAAAAAAGTGTTTCCATTGCAGTTTTGCGAAAAACACCAATTTCGATACGACTGAAAAACCACCTCATCCTAGCACAAAAACTGTTGAAAAACGTAATTTTTTTCAAAATTGACGTGATTCCATTGAGCAAATATATTTTTGAAATTCTAATTTGCGCATTTTCATGGTCAATGGAAACGCAGCTTGTAACAAACACACAGTCTGCAGGTCAATGAACCAATCCCAGCATCCCCAGCCTTGGTGTGGGCGGAGCCTGTTCTTTTTAAAGTCATGCCTCCAATTAAATAAAACCTTTTTAAAAGTAACTAAAGTTCCACTGGAGCTCCAGATGTTTTCAGCAAGATGTTGTTCATTGTCACTGATCTGTTAAAGCTAACAAAGTTTTGTATTTTTGGTGTTTTTGTTGTTTTGTAGGTACTCTTTTGGTAAGTGAGCTTCAGACTAACTCCAGCAGGGCTACAAGAGAAGAGATGGAGTGTTTGTATTTCTCTAAACCATGTAACTAAAGTAGGTAATGTAGAGACGGCCCCTCAGACCCCCCTGGAGCTGTGCTGGTTTTCTCTGCTGAAGCTCACAGTGTGAAGCTCTTTCTGAACATCTGTCATGTTGTGTGCAGGCTGGGAGAGCCAGCTGCTGGAAACTGGCTTTCTGGCCATTTTCTTGTGTCCAGTCTGGACTCTGGCCCAGGTTCCTCGTCAGTGCCCTCCATCCCTGATCTGCATCTGGACCTTCAGATGGCTGATTGTGCGCATCATGCTGGGAGCTGTGAGTACACACTATAACAACACAACTTTCAAACCACAAAAACAACCTTTCACTTAATCTCATTCAGATCCATGTCTGCAGACCTGTCCTGGGTCGTCTGCAGACGACCCAGGACAGGTCTGCAGACATGGATCTGAATGAGACACATACTGTAAGGGTCTAACTCCAGGACAGATCTGCACAGACCTACAGGGGCAACCCAAGAGTTTCTGTAGAAGCTCATCAGTGATCTGTGATGCAATCATCAAACATCATGTGCCAGCAGGTCGTCTGGCTGTCCTCTTTAAGTTCACATGATGCATGTTTTGTTTTGTTTTCAGGGTCTTATTAAAATCCGAGGGGACAGGTGCTGGACAGACCTGACCTGCATGGACTATCACTACGAGGTGTGGGTTTGAATCTCCCGCTGCTCACTGCAGTGCTGTGTGTGTGACAGGATCAGTCTGGATCTCTCTGGACTCTGAGGGGACAGGAGGGGACCTGCAGAGGGACTACAGGTCTTCTCCTGTCTGCACTCAGGTGGACAAACTGCAGGGCTTCAAATAAATAGTTTCCAGGGTTCCTGCGGATCCTTAAAATGTCTTAAATCAATCTTTAGAAGTCTTAAAAATGTTAACACATTGTAAATTTGATGATTGTAATTTGTCTCAAATATTAAAATAATTGGTAACGTTTATTTATTTTTTAAACATTCACATGCACTTTCCTCTTTGACATCACTTCCTGTTGCTTCACATGCAGATATCTCAACAACTGTTTGTCTGAGCATTGTGAAATTTGTTTCATAATGTGTTAATAATGTTGTCTTTCCAAAAATGCATTCACACTTCTTACAAAAAAAATTGACGTCACATGCACTTTAAGGTTTCATCTACAGCAAATTGAGGTTGAGACCCCACTGTGGGTCCTAAAGCTCTAAATTTTGGGTCGTTAGAGAATTTCCAGGAATTAAATTAAATTTAAAACTGAGTGCTAAGAATGTTTTTGCTATATTTGACCCAAAAAAAGGCAGTTAGATATGGATAAAAACAATTGGTTTATTAGGAAAATTTGAATACTTCTTTGCTTCATGAGTTTCTGCCAGTTTTTATTTTATTTTATTTTTTTTGTCCTTTGTGTTTATTGTGAAATTAGTCTTAAATTTAATTTCACTTGGCATTAAATAGTCTTAAAAAGTCTTTAAAAATCTTAAATTTAACTTTCCTGAAACTGCAGGAACCCTGGTTTCAACTTTAGAAGGTCAGATGTTTTCTTTAAAGTGTGCCATCATAAATTACAATGCAGACCGTTCCACAGTCTGTTCAGGAAGTCTTAGCTTCAGCTCAGTTTGTATCCATGAAGAAATCAATCAATCAATAAGTTTATTCACTCAATTCAAAAACTTCCTCATTATAACATACAAACACATTTTGGTTTAACACATACTGTGTATGAGTGAAAAGGGAGCAGGAAGAAGAAAAACCTCGTATAAACCTGCTCCTTTCTCAATATTTACAATGAATTTTTCATGGCCACATACATTAAATCACAAATTCTGTATTCTGTATATAAGAAGATGGGTGTGTATATGGGTGTATGTACGTATATGTGTTTGTGCATGTAAATATGTATATATGTATGTGTACAAATGTGTATGGGTGTGTATGTAGTATTTTCATCTGCCTGTATGTGTACAAATGTGTATGGGTGTGTATGTAGTATTTTCATCTGCCTAGGAAATTTTACTATAATTATTATTTCCTTTGTCAGAAAGGATATGGGAAACTGAAAATACTGTGATAAATTACAGCTGGAAAAGGGGTATGATTATATAAGTTATACTTCATCATACTCCTTTTCAGACTCATAATCACCGATGTGATGTGTTTTCAAGAAATATATTATGTACTTTATGTTGTTCTACACTGCCGGTGAAAGGTTTGTCTGAAATAAACTAAACTAAACAAATAGAATCTGCAAACAATAAATCTCCTCCTCATTAACTCAAAAGTGTATAAGACAATAATTTTTCCTTATAAAGGATTTTAAATTAATTTAAAGTAAAACATTTTTTCAAATTGTCATCCAAACTATTCCATAATTTTACCCCATAAACTGAAATACACATTTGCTTTAAAGTAGTATGCACAGTTTTACTTTTAAAATCATATTTTCTTCGGTTATTTCTGTCATTTGAACTTAAGACAAAAAACTTTTGTAAATTAATTGGCAATAATGTCTTTTTTGCTTTAAACATAATTAATAAAACTTTTAAATTAACTAAATCCCGTAGTTTCAAGATGTTTGATTGAATAAAATTTTTTTTATCTGTTCCCTAACATTCACTTTATACAGAATTCACATAACTTTCTTCTGTAACACAAACAAAGGTTTAGTGTTGGTTTTATATGTGTACCTCTACACAATAGGTCATATACGAAGCAACAAATGAGTGATATAATGTATGGAGTGTTAGTTGATCTAAAATATTTTTTTACTTTATTTAGAAGTCCGATACTTATAGTTTTTGTTTTATATATTTTATATGAGATTTCCAGTTAAGTTTATGATCGAAGACAATCCCTAAAAATTTAACTTCATGTGCTCGTTCCACTATATTATCATCTATGGACATTATAATAGAGCCATCTATTTTTTTGTTGTTTGTTTATTTGTTTGTGAAATGGTGCAAACATCAGAGCCCATCGTGTCTCTGTTTCCTGTCAGACCCAGCCAGTGCCTAACCCCATGTCGTACTACCTGCACCACTCTCCATGGTGGTTCCATCGCTTTGAGACGCTGTCCAACCACTTCATCGAGCTGGTCGCCCCCCTCCTCACCTTCCTGGGCAGGAGGATGTGCATGGTGAACGGAGCTCTTCAGATTCTTTTCCAGGTAAAAACTGTTCAACCGTGGGACAGAGGGAAGGTGTTTGTGATGCAACTTCCTGCCCGTGTCTTCTCTGCGTCCCTGCAGGTGGTCCTGATAGTGAGCGGGAACCTCAGTTTCCTCAACTGGCTCACAATCGTCCCCAGTCTGTCCTGTTTTGATGACTCAGCTCTGGGTTTCTTGTTCGGCCGTGGGTCTGCAGCTAAGCAGGCTGTGCTGGAGGTGCAGAGTCAGCACGCAGCTGGACGCTCCCCCAAACCCACCAAAGGTGCTCCGATTCTAACAGCTTCCTGTGGATCCTTCAGAGGCCTTAAAGTGCCTGTGACCTGTATATCCTTCAGATATACAGAAAGTCAAAGAAAACATCTGTATATTTAAGGATCTTTGCAAAGTACACAAGATTTTACTTATTTTCTCACAAAAATGAAATCTTTTCTTTTGAACTTGGCTCAGCTAAAGTCAAACAGGAAGTGACATCAAAGGGGAACTCTTTAACTCTGGTCTTTATTGAAACAATATTTAAACTTTAACTGTTCTTCATCTCTAGCTGTGTTTCCATTGACCATGAAAATGCGCAAATTAAAATAAAATAATTTGAATTATTCGAAAATAATTTTCGAATAATTTCGAAAATAAATTTGCTCAACGGAATCACGTCAATTTCGAAACAAAAATACGTTTTTTGACAAAATGTTTTTGCACTAGGATGAGGTGGTTTTTCGGTCGTATCGAAATTGGTGTTTTTTGCAAAGCTGCAATGGAAACACTTTTTTCACATCACGGGAGTCACGTGATCAACAACCG